GTGTGTGTGTGTGTGTGTGTGTGTGTGTGTGTGTGTGTGTGTGTGTGTGGTGTGTGCTGTGGTGTGGTGTGGTGTAGTGTCGTGTGACGTGGTATAGCATAGTGTGGCATGGCGTGGCATGGCGTGGTGTAGCGTTGTGTGACGGGGTGTGGCATGGCGTATTGTGGTGTGGTGTGGTGTGGCGTGTGGTGCCAGATTATGTCTACCCTTCGAGACAGGGGCGAAGGCTGACTTGTTTGACAGGGAAATGCAAGTGAAACAAAGAACCAGATAGGGCCTGGAGATATCACACAAGAATCTTACTCGAGGCGGCGACACTGAGCTGTGAATGAAAACAAATCCTGAATTCATTTTGTATGTTCAACTGCCAAAATAATCGGGAAAGTATCTCAATAAATATGTATTCTAACAAACATTAAATTTACTATTATCATAATTATTATCATTATTATTATTATTATGATTATTATTATCATTATTATTATTATTATTATTATTATTTTTATTATTATCATTATTATTATTAATTATTATTATTATTATTATTATTATTATTATTATTATTATTATTATTATTATTATTATTATCATTATTATTACTTTGGTCACCAGGGACGAGTGCAGCGATAACGACTATAGCTTGTTCCAGGGAGAGGTGTGCTCAGGCTGCCAGGTTTTGGCGGGAACCCTGTGGACAGGCCTGCTCCTGGCACTTCTGGCCATGATGGTCAAGGTGTGAGGGAGGGTCACGTGACCGACAGAAGAGGTGGACAGACAGGCGGGACTGACCAGAGGAGGAGAGGAGGAGAGGAGGAGAGATGTAGCAGATTGTTCACCATCTACGAGGACTTGTCATTATTTGCTATATACGACATCTACATGGAGTTGTCGTTATTTGCTATATACGACATCTATGTGGAGTTGTCGTTATTTGCTATATACGACATCTACATGGAGTTGTCATTATTTGCTATATACGACATCTATGTGGAGTTGTCGTTATTTGCTATATAGCACATCTATGTGGAGTTGTCGTTATTTGCTATATAGCACATCTACGAGGAGTTGTCGTTATTTGCTATATACGACATCTACGTGGAGTTGCTTTTTTAAAATTTATAGCAAGGGGAGGCTGTGAATTATCTTGTTTATAATAATTATGTTTGAATATTTAACTCAATAATACATGTAGTATTTCTTTATTTTTTATTTTTTATTATTTTAAAAATGGATCAGAAAGACATTCAAAATCTATGACTCTTGTTTGTTCAAGTTCCACGATTGATTTGCATAAACAAGTAAATTAACAAGGTAAATAAGCAGGTAGATAATATACAAGTAAATAAAAAGGTATATAAACAAATTAAATAAATAAGTAAATATCAAGTAAATAAGCAAGGTAAATAAACAAATAAATAAACAAATAAATAAACAAAGTAAATAAA